ATAATTGATCTTGTCTTAAACCCATTATTGTGCTTCTTTTGTGACATGATTATAGAAGGAAAAAGAAATGCTTTGGGCAATAAACTTTTGGAAACAGCTCTCCTACATTCATTGTTTTTCAAACCAACTCTACTAATTTAAATGCCTTTATTAATGTCGTGATTTGCCGGCTTTATATTACATATTCAAAATAAAAGAAAATTGAAGCAGTTCATCATTGACATGAATGTTACAAAACCAGCATCTGGATTGAATAATGAAGTTTTTGGTCCAAGTTTTGCTTCACTGAATGAAGCTAATAAAACTGCCTTCGTTGGTTATGTCAGGGACTTCTCCTTCACTAACTCGTGGTTCCTTTCAGTTGTCAGTCTGGAGGGCACTAAGGTTTTCATCAGGAAGTTCTTTCCTAGTGGGACTTGTTTCATGTAACTCTCAGCCACTTTTCTGTCACCAGCAGAGTGAGGTGATAACACCCCATGATCACTGATCACAGTTTTGGGAAGTTTCAAATATCTTCTCCACCAGTTAAGCTCTTGAAACAAGAGCAAAGTGGGGGGGGGGGGGGGGGGGGGAAGAGCTCTAGAGGTGGAATGATTGAAAATTAGATGTTGGGATGAAACCATAATATTCACAATTCAAGTTCAGGTACATAGGCAGCTGTTGCCAAGTTTTGTTACTACCTTGACCTTGGACGCTTGCAGAAATATAGTTGCACATGGGTAATGATAATACTACCTGGAAGTCACAAAGCCATTCCCACTACAGGTGCTGATAACACGTGATAATACATGTGCATGTAATGCACACACATACATACCTCTAGGAAGTCTCTTGAATGTAAATATATACTTTTTGCTACTAGATTTTTCTGAGCCATATGGATCCATGCTAATAATATTAAATTCCTTTCAGATTCATCAATTGATTTGACTTTCAGAAAACCACTTTAAAATGAATAGTGTCTACTCTAGTATCCTTCTTTTACTAGTGAAGAACCTCCTCCAAGAGGCACTGTGACTTTCTCAAAGACATGCAGGTGTCATGTGGTAGAAAGGGGTGATATTTTATAAAGGCTCATTTTTATATTTTATCACAAATCCTCTTTTGCATGTTCTACTTCAATAAAAAGCTCAGTGAATGAATGAAAGAATGAAGGAAAAATGAAGAAATAAGCAAATAAAATTAAAACAAATCCTAACAGATGAAACAAAACCCTAATGGGAAATATCTCCAAGAGTCAGATAGTAAAATCATGGAAGCCATGAGCATTTTCTATTTGTTATCCCTTTGCCTATAATCAGAGTTGGCAAGGGTGCAGGCAGACCTATCATAGACTCATCCAAAATAATTATTGACTGTCATTGAGTTAGCATTACTTAGCTAAGTAAAAACAACAACTCCCTATCCCTTTACCTATGAATACTTGGATACATGATTGTCATCAACCATGAAACTGGCTGAGAGTGACTGTCAGTGTCCTCCTTTCTTCAGCCAGATGTAGTTGCTGCGTAGTGTCTTCGGGAAACTGTAGGCAAGAAAATCAGAGTGCCCGTCCTCTGCCTAGTAGATGTAAAGCAGTCCTCTTTCCAGTTACTGTGCTCTTCAAAGAATAAAGGGAAAACAGGAGCTTTTGGGTGGAATTGGAAGATCCTGCCAGTCCAGGCTCATGGGCTAGAGTGTGACTTATGGTAACTGAGATACTGGGCAACTCTGTGGCCAGACATGTGGGCAAGTCCCCAAATCTTAATCTTTCGGAATATACATCTCTTTCCCACCTTAGTAACAAAACTCCACCTTTTTCCTCTTAAACGTTGTAATTATAATTTTTGTAGTCAATTGTGGGGAGCTGATATAGGGTTAAGCCTGGGACTGACCTGTGGGCAAAGTCACAAACAATTCCCAGCTTAGAGGGCACAGTCCTCTTAGCTTAATTAGGCTTTACCTTATAACACTCCCTAGATCTTATCTGGGATGCTAATGGGCTGAAGAAGTGCAAGAAGTATAATCATGATGTAAACAAGTGAAACTCACAAGAACAAAAATAAGTGAAACTCACAAGAACAGTGTAACTTTGGTAACCACTACCTTGTTTACCTCTCACTATAAAATAAAGGCTCAGCTTGCCTTGGGATCTCTCTCTGTGGCCTCAGCCAGGCACAGGAAGATCCACGGAGACTAAAGCTAGAGAGTTCTGAATGCTGTCTCCGTGTAAAACATTCTTCACCCACTCCGTCCACACCTTTGGGAACCCCTGGACCCCCGCTGGGGCTGGACCCCGGCAGTCGATTTTTTCCTTTTGATCATGCTTCTCTTTTCTTGAGCACGGTTTGGCCGAGATAAGAGCAAGGAATGGAAGTCATGATTCATGATTTAGCAACCAAGTGACAGGGTTTGAGTCCCAGTTCAGGCCCTCGCTCGCTGTATTATCTCAGACAAGTTCATGTATACAGCTTGGTTTCCTTGTGTGTAGAGTGAGTTAACTAATACCTATTTCACAGTGTATTTGAGGATGGGCTGCGATGGTGTAATTGGAAGTGCCTTATGAAATGCTCAGTAGTAGTATTGCAGACGCTTTGTCATGGGGAGGTGCTTGTGTTGTGCCCAGATTTCAAAGTTCCCAAGACCCCCAGGGAGCCAGTCAGTCCGATGCAAAAGCAAAGAGTCTTTAATGCAAGCCGGCTTGCGCTCCCCGTTCACCAGACCCACTGACACAGCGGAAAGTCCAGTGGCCGAGAGACCGTGGCCTGATGGGACAGGGGGTTTTATAGGGGGGTGGGGTGAGGGCAGGAGAGGGGACTGTGGGCCCCGCCGATTGGTCAGGCGTGAGTTGGTATAGGATGTGGTCATAGTGATGGCGTGCACTCTTTAATGCAAGCCGGCTTGCGCTCCCCGTTCACCAGACCCACTGACACAGCGGAAAGTCCAGTGGCCGAGAGACCGTGGCCTGATGGGACAGGGGGTTTTATAGGGGGGTGGGGTGAGGGCAGGAGAGGGGACTGTGGGCCCCGCCGATTGGTCAGGCGTGAGTTGGTATAGGATGTGGTCATAGTGATGGCGTGCACTTACCTTGATTATTATTGGTTAGTCCCCAGAAATCCTGGGTGTGGCTAGCAGCGGCTTTTTC